ATTGGGGATTAGCTAGCTACTAAGTTAAGTCAAAGATTTGCAATCGGTGTGGCTGTGTCGCTTCTTTGTCTTAATAATTTAAAACGAGGAACTTAAAGGTCAATGATTAAAGAAAAGAATTCAAGTTACGATGAAAAATTAATTTTGAAATGGACGGAAACGATTTTTCCCAGAGAGGAGATGTATGGTAGCATAAGACTTTCCTTTGTTCAATGGGAAAGACAAAAGAGTCAGTGCTCCCATCTGTTTTTTTTTTCCTTTTCATGACTCACAATAGCTATTTTTCCGAACCATCAAGATACCGAATTAACTGCATCCACTGTGCATTCATTTTACGTATATTCAAGTCATCCTGCAAAGAATAATGTCGCAAGACAAGGACCCGCCATTAATGGACCCTGTACCATCTCGCTTAACACAGTTGTTCATAAAAAATCAAATTAAAGCATTATATAGGAAGTTGTCGAAAAATTGGTTCGATCCGAACCTTCCTTGGGCCAAAACACCCAACTTTATCTTAAAAATTGCAACATCTAAGTTCAAGACAAGAATACATGGACGGCGAGACAAACAAGCCTAGATCGCTGCAGAAAGCGATTCTGATCACACCTATCGGTATAAGAAAAGATGAGTCTATCTCAAGTCTTTCTGGGTTTTATATACATCCGCATAATCTTAATATACAAAACCACAACAGAATATATAAAATCATTTGCAATGGATAGGAAAGACGGTCAAATAGACTTACATCGATTCAAAATGTGATTCTTAATCGATCGAGTGATTCTTTCTAATCGAAAATGTGGGTCTATCTCAAGTCTTTCTCGGTTTTGTAGACATAAGCATAAACTTTACATACACCATGTAAGTGCTGCAGGGTATAAAGCGTAATATGCCCTTAGAACAGGTAACGCGTGGTATAAAGTTGGATAGACATACGCTAACATCAACCCTTTCAACCACCCTTTCAAACCTTTGATTAAGATGCTAATGTGTTTCTAATGCAGCAAAGTATTTCAATCAATAGCAACATTGAATTTGATCCGTTGATTATTTTGAACATCGTTCGCTGGAATCCAAATGAAAACGTTTTCACTTTCCCATCAACCTAATATACGATAAGAAGTAATAAACATTGACAGACTATTACGCTCATAAGTCCGCCTGGCCTCATAAATTCTTATTGATTATAATTAGTAGGTAAGTGCAAGAGAAAAATCACAAGCTTCTGCTAACTTAGAGCATTCATATGCCATTCATTAGTAACGACGCGAACGTGTCTTCTTATTAATGTAAATCAATGTTAGCGCAGAAAACCAAACAAAGGAAGAACGAACATGCATGCAACTTTGGTAATAAATGGAAAAAAAGAGAAAGGGAATCGTTTTCCAGTATTCGTTAATTAGATTTGTAATAAATAAGCAAACATTTTTAGTTATTTATTGTCAATAGATGTGTAGTCGAGTGATCATAAATAATTCGATTAAAAAGTTTATAAAGTAGAAACATTCTTCCCAATTGCTTTATCGAAGTCGATCGTTGCTTCGGCCTTTAATGTTCTCTTATCTTCCTATAAGTTACTTAAACGAAAAAATTTAATTAGTTAAGATTAGTCGACCCTTTTGAATATTTTGCATATTGCAGAAGACTATCTGTACTTTTACCAATTTCGAATTGTTTTTGACTAGCTCTCAGAAAGTGGCCCTAAAGAAAGAAGTGCTACGGTTGTCACAAATCGCTTTGGGCACATTCGATTGTGATCTTAGCATGGATATAGATGCTAATGTCTGGCTGCAATTTTTCCTTCTTAGAATTTCTCTTAGGGTATTTCCTTATATGGGAAGACATGTAATTCGTTTGTTTTTGAACCTCCCAAAAATTGTTAGGAATCCTCTTATGCTTTTCAAATGTTTAAAGTTCCAGTAATTAGTTTAAAGGTTCGAAAGAAATTTTCACCCAATATTCCTTAACTTTCAATTTTTCGTAGTTATCTTAAAAAGCTGTTATCTGCAATTTTCAGAATCCCAGGATAATTTTCCCTACATTGAAATCAAACATTGCCAACATTGCGATAATGTGTTCCTTACGCTCCTTTTTGGTAGTCAATAAAAGTGAAACATCAAAGTGCTGGGAAAAAGAAAGAAGTGAGAAAATTACATTCAGCTGAGGCTGAGTCAGTCTTGCATTCACTCATTCGTTCATTTACCAGAAACAATCATCAAATACGGACATGGCTAGATCGTTTCTGAATTTCACGCTGATTTGTAGGGTTTTTGAAACTTGCTTTTGGTTGTTGCAAACAGTATGACAATATGATATCTATCTCCTTCTTAGTGGTGAATATAATAATAATATCGATTTTTTGATGTCTTGACGTCAAGCACTTTTAAAGTCGAGAAGAGAATAATCTTTTAATGAGGAAAAGGAATCGCGTCATGAAAGTCGACGTTTCTACCCTATGTTTATATTGTAACGTGCACTGATTGGAGATGTGAAACAAGTGGAAATGAAATATGAAATGCAATAAAATGATCAAAACGTTTGGGCATCAAAGAAGTAAGCATAAATGTAAGAAGAAGAAGATGTAGGAGTTAGTTTTTCTTGACAACACATTTCCATCCGCCTGACAGTTGGACATTATTTTTTGTTAAAAGAAATTAGTGAAAAATCTTTCTATGACTAGGCGTCACTTGAAACTTAAATAAACATAAGTAAAGTAAGGGAAAAATTTTGTGATCGTTTGTAACAAATAAATTTAAATGAACTCACATTCCTTCCTAATCGATAGCGTTTCACCACTTTTCTATTAAAAAACTATTATTCCCGCTTTAAGGAATTTCCAAAACTTTTGAGCGGAAAACCAAAACGCAAATTATTTTCCCAGATCCGTTTTAAAGTGATCTTTACATTCTTCAGGGCGCTCTAGAAGGAGCCGAACAAATGATAATCGGGCTTGGCAAGATCCGAGCCATATTTCAGCCAATTCCTCACTTAATTTCGCAGAGTCATGGTGCTTGCGTGCAATCTGACATATAATCCTTATGCAAGACGACACCTTTCCTGTTGGCCCATTGTGAGCATTTTACCTCTATTTCGCATTTTACTCGCATTAGTTTTTAACATTAGAGAGTGCAGTTATAATTCACACTTTTTCTCCAAGGATTTGATTGTGTTGATGCAGTAATAATTAATCTTTGCTTGTATCTGATAATCCGATTTATTTTGGTTGAAAACAAGCAGATCTTGTGCAGTTACATTATTTTTTTATTTTCGAGGATTTTAGATCAAAGATTTCTTAGCTCTAAGATGGAAATATTTGGATATTAAAAACTTACTTGTAAATAACGCGAACGGATGGTCATTAAGCAAGTTGACTAGTACATCGATTATTAACCCCTTCAGACGGCAAGATGCGTCATATGTGTTGTATCTGCAATCGTGAGTCGAAAACATTCAGTGAAAAATATTCCGTAGACTAGTCGTAGAGATACTCAATTAAGATTCCTCTAACTATCGTCATACTTTACCACCATCCTACTTACCCGTAGGGTTGAGTGCTTGGAACAAAATAAAATCGGATGACCAGAAGTACTTCCGCGTGCCGATATCTCTCTGTCTCAAGCTATTGTACCTATTATTGGAAATCTAATAAGCCTACTAATCAAGTTTCTTTACGCGACCCAATCATTCACTGCTTCACTATGTTCGTAAAACTGCCATCATTCCAGGCAAATTTTGATAAACTGACGCATAAATGCCATTAAAGCAATGATCATTGTGCCCTAACTGATTGATAGAGTTAAACATAACCTCAAAATAAAAGGCTAAAACGAGATTATTGCTCCTTTGGGATGACTACTGAAAAGAGTTCCGCTTTTCAAGCGAAAAACAAAGTTGCCTTAAGGCCGACTGCCTAAAACTCGTGTAGATGGACACTCTATGAAACATTCTCGCCCTGCGGCTCTGCTTTATCTAATTTTTTTCCATTCATATTACGAATA